ACTCCCCATGAGGTACATGGGTCAAGCAGGAGCCCCATTCAGGGACAAGGAGAAGCAGCCTGGATTCCAATCATCCTCATGACAAACCCCTATAAAACACAGATTACACATAAACATTCAGTTCTGCAAATAACACTTGTGCCTAAAATCCAAAAGACACACCTGGAAGTGTCCAAAGTAGAACCAAAACTGTCACCACTGCCCTTCTCAAGCCCCTGTTCCCCAAACCCTCTCCTCCCACCAGGAGGTACAGTCATCAGCTTTGGTTCATTCGAAGCATCTCATAAAAGCATACAAACAACTCTATTATCAGTGCCATGGAAAGGATGACTGTCATTTACATTCAAATGCAGTGACAATTTCTACTGGGCTAATAGACCAGGTCTTGGGAGCTGTTTTGTTCTCTCCATGAACATACTCTGCGTCGTGTTAGGCATTATAAAAAACGTGTTTGTCTAACAGTAAAATCGACTTCCATCCCTTGACCACAAATCACCTGTGACACATCTGAGAAGCACGGCCAACTGAAAGAAAGCTGAAATTCAAAACCTGTTCACTGTGATCCACAAACCGTGGTTCTGTGTGGACAACTGAGAACTGTCAGCCACATCAAAACTGACTCAGCCTGACCACTCAGCTCCCTAGAGGCCCCACGGCTGCCACACAGGACTAGCTGCCTTCACCACTCACAGACTGGACAAGATGAGAACGAGCTCCTACAATGTGCCTTCGTGATTGGAGAGCACCTTCCGCCTCCTTCCCTGGATGCACCTGCCCGAAAGACGGATGTGGTCACTGGAGGTGCCGCCACATTGTTTCATCTTCCCATATGAACTTATTTAAAGCCACCAGAAGAATTAAAGCTCATCCCAAGTAAAGAGGTGTGGCCTCTGCTCCTGGTGTGGTCCACTCTCTCTGGGGAAAGGAGGACACAGACAGCAAGGCCCCCCCACTGGCCTTTTTCCACAGCTCCAGCTCCTAACTTCCATCCTATACTAAACTGCCAGAAGCCCCAATTTGTTAGAAAAATTCTCTAAAAAGATAAATTCTTCACTGTATGCTCCCAGCTTTATAATAATCTCCCATTCCCATCTCCCAATAAAACTTTCATTTGAGACTTATGATGGAACGAGTGAGGTTTTACTGCAGAATTTTCCACTGAAACAACAGTCAGTACTTTTCCTCCAATCTCTGGCAGAACACAAATTTATGCACCTACAAGGCAATAAGGCAAAGCCTTAAATTTAATCAGAAGAAACATTTCATCAGTGGCAAACTGATAAATTATTTAGAAAAGGGCTCAATGGGCCTAAGCAAGGAAATATGGGCCAGAGAGAGGCTGGCAGCCTTCGGAAAAAAAATATAATCACCATGGTTTCTCTCAATTCCTTCTTGAACTGGAATCACCTATATCGAAAGCTAGAAAAGTACAGAACAAGTCCAAGTGTTCCAGCATCAGCAAGGAAATCATCAGGCTCCCAGGCACCGGGCCGGCGGGGCCAGCGGGGCCAGCGGGTGTTCAGGTCGGTTTTCCGCCCCTCCTGGACAGGCACTACCGCTGAGGAAATGGGCATTTCCTACTCCACTCCCATCCACACCAGCGCAGCGGCAGCGACTCCAGCAAACTTTAATGAAAATAGCCTCATTTTCATGAAATGACCCAAGCTTTGTAAGTCTTGCAATAAAGGACACATTGAAAGAGAAAACCAGATCTATGGGTCTTTCCGTGGAAGGTCTGGGAAATGTAATAACACCCCCATTGTTTTATTGCAGATGGCACATCAACCTGTCTTTATTACTGCAGGAACTCCAGAGCCCTGTAGATGCAATAAAGTGGTGCGTGTTTAGCCTCGCAATGTTTCAAAGGACCCTGATTTACAGTCAGGAACCAGGCACCCTGCACTTGAACGTGTGGGCTTGCTAAGTGCCTCCTGTTTTGTGCCTACTCCAGAAGGCAGCATGAGGTCTGCCGCACACCGAGAGCCATGCCATCTACGCCAGGCCTCCCTCCCTCTCTCCTGTAAGAGCCACGCCATCTACCCCAGGCCTCCCTCCCTCTCTCCTGTAGACCACGGAAAGCTGTGAGAAGCAGTGTGCCATGCACACCAGGGCAGATGCTATTATTACCCAGTGCATATGGCACAGCCCCACGCTCACACCGCAGAGCCAGTCAGAGGTATCCTGTGACATCCGCTACCTTAGGCTAATTTCTAAAATAGATGAGGCCCGCTCATCGTGAGTAGCAGGAAATTTTTAAGCATTTTTATTGTACTTAAAAATGAATGCAATAGTGTTAGCATTCCAAAAGCAAAATTAGGTACTCATTGTTGTGGTCTTGCTTCCTGAATGCAAAAAAAAGATCCCAGTCTGCATGTGTGAACGGCTTCCTTCTATGCCGCAATGGATACTTCATTCCAGCTTCCACGTTACAGACCAGCCCAGATGGGACCCCACCCGTGGGTGCCTCTTCCTCAGCATCCTGTAATCCTGACACATTCTCTGTCTCACCAGCCCTTCAAACCAGCTCTTACTCAGAGAATCATTTTGCACATCCATTGCTGAAATCCGGCCAACTTTAACAAATTTTCCCAGACTACGAATCACTCAGAGGACTGCACCCCTGTGTGCCTGTGCTCGCCGTCCCAGGGCAATGTGCTACTGTCACAGGAAGGGAATCCTCAATCCCACGCTGAGCCTACACTGTCATCTTTCTGGCTGTCATCACTGACCTGCAAGGAAAGGTCGCCTTCCCTACATCATGATGCCTCTTCTCAATGCCACAGAAGAGATCTGCTCCTAGACAGAAATCCAGATGAAAAATGACAGACGCCACCTTAGAAGGTTCCACTTCCTGTCAGCTAGCATCAACTATCTGGTATCTACCAAGCTCAACTAATAATAGAGCTAGCAGGAAATCCACTCTTAACACTCAAAATGAAAAACTATAAATCACACCAAATGGAATGCACATACAGTCTCTTGAAATATTAAACACATGTATTCTGAAAGGCTGTATTTCCTTATCTAATAATTCTTTGAAAAGAAGAAATTAGTTATAATACCAGAGACTCATTCTAGAAAGAACACAATTGGCAGATCTGACTTTGTTTGGTGACATTGTTTTTTAAACAAACGTATCTAGTAAAACTCAAAGGTACAAAGCGAAACCCAGGAGATGGCCAGAAAGGCATTCCTCTGAATTCCCATCATGTTGGTCAACAGCACGCCAAACGCCAACACCGCCTCGTCTTCCAGTACTGCCCCTCGCCCTATGCTCCTGTAAGCAACCGCCTCACCATGCTGAGACCCTAGGGTATCTTCAAAGTCTTCAAAGAAGCTTTTCTCTGTGGAAAACACTAGGCACCTCTACTATTTTTTTTAAAGGACTCCACCATCCAAATCTCTTTCCAGTCCCCATCCAATCTCCAAACATGCTGTGTAATTGCTCTCAAGAAAAAGGCCACTGCATGTTTACATAAACCACCAAGAGGTAACGAATTTAAGAAAGGGAAAAGTAAAGCCATTAGACATCAATCAAAAAGCCATTAGGACACTGCCTTCTTTTTTTTTTTTTTTTTGTTTGAGATGGAGTTTCGCTCTTGTTACACAGGCTGGAGTGCAATGGCGCGATCTCGGCTCATCGCCATCTCCGCCTCCTGGATTCAGGCAATTCTCCTGCCTCAGCCTCCCGAGCAGCTGGGATTACAGGCACGCACCACCGTGCTCAGCTAATTTTTTGTAATTTTAGTAGAGACGGGGTTTCACCATGTTGACCAAGATGGTCTCGATCTGCTGACCTCGTGATCCACCCGCCTCGGCCTCCCAAAGTGCTGGGATTACAGGCTTGAGCCACCGCGCCCGGCCAGGACACTGCCTTCTAAAGAACAAGTCTGCTGTAAGCAGGAGGATGCGTCCTAAGACACAGAGGTGCTTTCTAACAATTCGCTCCTGGCTGCAAGCAGCAGCAGCAGCGACCCGAGGGCATCCTTACAGGCAGGACAATTTCGTTTCTGGCTCTTCTCTCACTCTAAAAATGTAAGTAATGGCTAAGGAATCCCTGAATCCCAGATCATGTGCATAAATGATCCACGAACAAAAATTCCAACCAAGTAAGTGTTGAAAAGGTTCCATAAATCATTTTTTTCCACGAGGCTCACATCCAAAAGGGGAGAGTAAAACTCACAGGGGACGCACAGGTGAGGCACCGGCTCAACCTGTGCTCTTCATTATACTCCTTTAGGTAACTCCAATCCATCTGCCACGCAAAGCCGAATATAGGGCACCTTCAAACGCGCCCAGATTCCTAGTTTTTTATTAAATTTATTAAATCTCCAAACCATTTAATAAGAAAGGCTTAAAGGTCTTTGGGTGGATTACAAATAACTTAGGATCTTAAAGGTAAATTGACAGTTACAATCTATGCCATTTTTCTTTAAAAAAAAAAAAGTAGGATATAAGCAAAAAAAAAAAAAAACCCACACATTAATTGGTAACTGCCTCCCTAAAAAGAACCGTATATTTTTAATCAAAGACAAAGCATATAATAGGTGTCATCTTTTGAATGTTGGGTGCTTTATTCTCAACTATTTGAAAACTGAAGACATGAGGAATAGCGCTAACTAGCTGAGGTTGCAAAAAAGTTACTGAAAATACATTTTTCTGAGAAAAAACCATGGGTTCCAGTCACAACAATGCTAATAAAATTTAAAAAAAAAAATCATGGTTAAGAGTAACATGAAGAATATTTTTTCTTTTCTAAAAATCTGGAGTAAACTTAAGCAAAGTAAGTCGGGACTGTCCAATGCAAGACTTGCAATTATGTGTACGCTGGCAAGACAGTACCTTGACCTACAGCCAGCAGGCTGAACGGAGCGCCCAGGCGCCACACTGCACAAGGCAGGGTCCGCACAGAATTCACTTGGATTCAAAGACTGTTGGTAACCAAGGAACTAGAGTTTCCCTGTAAGAAAGAAAAGGAAGAGCAAGTAAAGCAAGCTTACCCTTGGCTGCCAGTTTTCATACTGCTTCTGTAGATTTGCACCGATGGTTTCCAGAGCCTTCTGAGGACCCATCGACAGAGGATCTGAGGAAGCAACGGAAAGGAGAAAGTTCTTTACGTATGCATGTCCTCCTCTGCTAGACCTCTTTTCACAGTTTCTTCTTATATAACGCTCTTCAAAGTCACCTTTGACTAACAGCGACACAATGCCTAAGGTTGACGGGTGTTAAACCAGGTTTACAAAACCGCTCATGTGCTCAAACAAGCTGACATGCCCATGAAAGCCAGTGTTTTAACAGCGGGGCAAGCAACTGTTCTTCTATACATGCTCATGTATATTTCAGCACCTGCAGCTTTCCCACACTTTCACTGTTTTCTTCTCAGGCTCCTGATCAGGCTTTCTGTGAAAAGGCAGCTCTGCAGTGACAACACAGCATCTGTGTGTTCAAACTACGGCTCTCGTGGGTACAGGAATAGCAGAAGGAAATAAGACAATGAAGTGATACTTTTTAATTAATTTTCATCTGTACTCAGTTTTCACACCAAAAAAATCAGTTTCACATACATACATGTCCAGGGTTTACCCATTTATTTCAGGAGTGGCTTCTACAGCAATGAACTCTCAGCCAGCAGTTCACAAACTTGTTTGGTCTCAGGACGCGTCTGCACTCTACAATTACTGAAAACCCTGAAGAGCTTCGGTTTATGTTGTTGTATCTATCAGTATCTCCTATATGTGAAATTCAGCTAAGATTTCTAAAATCGTTTTTTCTTCGTTCATCTTAAAAACAATAACAAACCCATTACATTTTAACATAAATATTTATTATAAAAATAACTATTTTTTCCAAAAAAGCTTAGGGAGAAAAGCAGCATTATTGTACATTTTTGTGAATTTCTGGAATACGTGGTTTGATTGAGGATGGGTGACTCTCATTCTGCATTTGCCTGTGGCAGTTCATGGCTTTGGTGAATGCGTACGCAGAAGCTCCTACCTCACACACATATCTATCATTAGAAAGCAGAAGAGTATCTTAAAATGCTATTTTACATAGTCATGACTCTTTTTCTTTGATACTACACCAAAACTTATCAAATGGTAATTACGTCCAGGATATTTGAGACGTACTATCTGAAACCACATCAATGAAGCTTTTGTACACTATCACATTAATATTCACTGCCCTCTGTTGTACCTTGAGTGGGTTTTTTTTACCCACAGCTTATTTTGTATCATCATGCATTGACCATTTGCAAAATACTGGCTTACTGAACTGTATGGATTTTATATTTTCATTCTCTAATATTAAAAAAAAAATCCCTACTCATTAATATCACCATGAGCTCATCAGAAATGTCTTAAGTACTAAGAAGTTGCCAGGCTCAGCCGGGTATAGTGGCTCCCCACTGTAATCCCAGCACTTTGAGAGGCCAAGGCAGGTGGATCACCAGAGGTCAGGAGTTCTATACCAGCCTGACCACCATGGTGAAACACCATCTCTACTAAATATACAAAAATTAGCTGGGCGCGGTGGCATGTGCCTGTAATCCCAGCAACTCAGGAGGATCAGGCAGGAGAATCGCTTGAACCCGGGAGGCGGAGGTTCCAGTGAGCCAGATCGCGCCATTGCACTCCAGCCTGGGCAACAAGAGTGAAACTTTATCTCTTTAAAAAAAAAAAAAAAAAATTTCCACAGTCACACCTACCTTCAGCAACCACCTTCCACATCAGTCTGCAGCCATCCATATGGGGAGGGACCCTCCGTCAGCCAATTAAATGCAAGAGATTACGACTCGCTGAGGTTCAAGTGATCATTAACATTTTTCAGCAATTTTTAAATTAAGGTATGCATATTATTCTTTTAGAAACAATGCTAATGCACACTTAAGAGACTACAGTACAGTGTAAACATACTTTTATATGCACTGGGACACCAAGATGTTCATGTGACTCACTTACTGCAGTGGTCTGGAACCAAACCCGCAGTGTCTCCGAGGGGCACCTGTATAGTTTTGGCACTATTTAATATATTTTTAAGCTATATATATGTTACTCTGATTTTTTTTTAAAGCAAATAAATAAAAATCATGATGTTAATAAGATTTTACAGCTGGAAAGGACCTTCATCCATAGATAGGTCAAAGTCATCAAGGGCTTTTGAAAACAGAGATGCCAGGCCTTAACCTTCTGGAAATTCTAATTCAGTGGTTCTAACTCAGTGAACACCTCTGGCTGAGGAAAACGTGGTAAAAACCAGGTACTATCTAACTTCTCTGGAAGAGTTGCAGTAAATTTGTTATAACCCATAATCCGTAACTTAAGAAATTACATGTTGGTCTTCATCTGTCTCTGCTCAGGTAGGAACAAGGTTCTAAGGTCTCAAAAAAACTAGAGTGACCCAAATCAACTGTGCTAAGATCTGACCCACAAGAGAGGAATGGATTGCAATCTGAAAAATAAAAAATAGGGGCCATGAACTGCATAAACAGAGCAAAGGAAATCAAAAAATAGCTTTAACAAACAGATGCCAAAGAGCAGGACTTGCCACGTGCACGCGGAGGAGCAAAGTAAGCGCTCAGGGCTGGCTGGAAGGCACTGGACGCAGTCACCCGTACCTAACTGCAGCAACCGGCAAGGGGGTGGCCCGAAGGGGTCATCTATGGTAAGATGCGGAAATGGTCCCCTCCATACAGAGATCAAAGACCTGTCGATGCCTCTCGATGGTCAGTGGTGGCTCACACTAGGCATGCTCTCCAGTGAACCACAGACAGAGGGAGAAGGGAGGAGTTCCAATTGAAGGAGTGCCCCCTCCTTGACTTTCACCCCTTGGCAAGTCCAGGCCCATCTCCCATCCCACCCTCTCCCCAGTGTTGGCAGGGGGCAGCCACTGTGGCACCTTCCTGAATCCCTCACAACACCCCACAGAGAACGGGGGCCTCATTAGGAGAGCAGCCTGGCAGGAGCCCCACTCTCCCTGCCCTGACTCAGGTCAGGACACCTGCCCACCCAGGAGGGGTGAAGCCGCTGCCAGCTGCTCACCAGGCTGTGACAGCTACATGGGGCTGTTACCTCCCATCCTCTGGGAATCCCTGTGGTCTGTTATTTGCATGGTTCCCTCCCAAGAATAGGGCAGGGGGTGGGAGAGCTGAAATGAGAAGCAGAGGGAAAGACGGGAAGGAATGAGGTCAAGTAAAATGATGCATTTAGCATTTGATTAAGTATAATTTAAATAAACTGAAATTAAATTCCCTGATAGATATTGCTGACAATATTATCAGTCTGATGTGGGGTGAAGTGGACAGATCATAAATTAAATTTAAAACGGCAGTTGTGTCTTACAAAACATTTCTCTTCTAATCCCTTTGTGACTTTCTATTTGTTTTAAGGGGAATCTGGGAAAGAACTAATGAAAGTTGAGTGGTGAGTGAGTGTGTGAGGAAACTGATGAATGAAGTGGGCAGGCAGGTAGATGGAAAAGCAGATGGTAGTTGGTATTTGTATAAAACTTTCAGCTTTTCATAAATTTTTCTATCTGCAAGATTTTCAGCATAACCCCCATCAAATGACTTGGCCCAGGGTTTACTGACAGTGCTGGCATCTGGCCAGCCTGAAGGAGTGCCGCTTTTTCTTTTCCAACCTCTCCATCTTCTTCATATGTACCCAGTTTGACTACACGTCCTGTCCATTTCACCTTCCAAAGAGCTGGCGCTCCACCATCAACCGCTAACATGTTCATCCAACCCGCAGCCCTTCACGATGTTACTCAGACCCTCCCACTTCCCAGCTGGGTTTCTGAATCTGGTCCAATGACTCCAAAGAGGGTGGTGCCCCAGGCACAGACAGGGCCACCACTGCCCTAGTCTTCCTCTTCTCAGTTCACCCTGAAGATGAACGCAGGCTGACCCCTCCTCTCAGAAGCCCACAGTGCCTGCCATGTGCTCCATTTAGATGGGAAGCTGTCAAGAGAGCGGAGACCCAGCAGTGTGGCTGTGGGGAGGGGACCCGAAGGGGACAAGATTAGGCTTCTGGGCCACTGGTCATATTGTTCCTTGATCTCAGGAACATGGGTATGATCAGTTTAGGAATATTTATCCAACCACTGTATACACTTGGGTTGAGTACAGTCTTCTATGTATGCTACCCTTCAATAAAAAGTTAACAATGAAAACCCCATCCAGCGCTCACTGCTCAGAGTCTTTGTAGTCCTCTGTGCCTTATATTTAGTAGACACTTAATAAACATTTGTTAATTGACTTATTAACTGAGTACTGCCTACTAGATGAAGTGCCAGTTTCTCTTACGGCTTTCAAGGACACTGCCACTAATTAGCTGTGTAGCCTTCAACAACTCATTTTTTGAGAAAATACATAATGGCAAAAGGGCTACTTTGAAATTAGAAATGGTTTTTAATGACTCGATATTTTCCTAATCATAAGGCCATCTCTATTTATAATTAGTCCTATATACAGTGAGAGACGTGTGATCTTCCTGAGCTCAGGGGCAAAGCTTGAACCTACACAGCTGCAGGCATGCAGGGCAGGAACGCTTCGACCGGGACCCGCAGCCCTTGCAGTGTCTGTGGGGCTAGGACGGGAGCCAGCATCTTTCCACAGGAGCAATCCTTTACAGTCTGGCCCCGTTCTAACCACTAGCCCTTACTCTTCACATAGTGACAAAATTATGTTTCTGTGTCACCTATTGCTGTATTATATAAAAACCAGGAGTTAGACAGTTTTTCAGCAGATTTGAGGGAATGAACATGTCCTGTTTTATAAAACAGTCCTAGGCCAGGTGCAGTGGCTCACGCCTGTAATCCCAGCACTTTGGGAGGCCGAGGCGGGTGGATCACGAGGTCAAGAGATCGAGACCAGCCTGGCCAACATGGTGAAACCCCGTCTCTACTAAAAATACAAAAATTAGCCAGGTGTGGTGGCATGCGCCTGTAGTCCCAGCTACTCAGGGGGCTGAGGCAGGAGAATTGCTTGAACCCCGGAGGCAGAAGTTGCAGTGAACCAAGACTGTGCCACTGTACTCCAGCCGGGCGCTTGGCGAACAGAGCAAGACTTTGTCTCAAAAAAAAAAA